TTTGAAGCTAACATCTATATATTAGTGTACTTCTAAACGTTACTAAAATAATTTGATTTTAGCATATTTGCACATTGAAATTTTAGTCTTTCTCATCTACAAAAGCAGAGCAAAAATATTGATGACTCATCCACCAAATTATCATAACATCTCTATCATCTTTTGTAAGTTATAACAACAATGCCACCTCAGTAAATTAGTAAAACATGAAAGATGTAAACGGCATCTTCTCATTCACACTCTTCCTGCTGGTTGGTTCTACGCATTGAATTGTGGGAAATAGTGCTTCAGCGAGTGTACATCGGTTGTACACTTGAAATCAGAGTGCATTGTGGGTATACAGTAATGAATAAATGTAGGGAATTAAGTATTTTTTTCATTCGTAGGGAATGAAGTCATTCACTCAGAATTCAGACAGCACTACAAAATGGCCGACACACGATATAGTGCACTACATAGGGGACAGGGAGCGGTTTCGGACACAGCTCTATTAAGCTAATTGTATTTGCTACAACTCTACAGCTTACAGAAAAATGTTTGCCTTTTTTGTAATTAAAATGTTGTTTAGTCCCTTTAATAAGCTGTTTTCATGAAATCATCAGTTGGTCGATATAAAGATAGCAAAACTTTTCCCTGTTCCTTAAGATTAGCCGTTAGCTGAAAGTATTTGTCAAGGAGAACAAGATGTGGTCAAATATCTTTCATCAACTTTTCTCTTTTTCGACTTGTCATCTTTTTTTAACCACAGGGTAATTGGTAGTAATATGTCGCTGATTTTAATCTCTTTTGGTGATTTAGGGCCCTTTTGAAGTTTTTTTTCCCCTGAGATTTTCCTGTGCGTGGCAGACATACTGAATGGTTTCCCTGTGACGTGCCATGCTAGCACTGCTTTAATGCATCTTCATTTTTTTGTGGTTACACTTTATATGACACCAGTCAACCAATAGGAAATGTGCGTTGCTATTTTAAGACACGCCTGTCCAGCTTTACGAAGACCTCTATTTTCTTTGCCATTCGGCAGGCAGCTTTTAAAGTTTCATCTTGAAAGAATAAAAAACCTTCTTGTGCCATGACCAACTCACGCCAAGCTTGGGTAAAAACATCCAGATTCATCCAGACACATCGCAATCAGTGGTAAGCATCAGGAGGCCTAAGGATATTTCCGTATACAGATTGCGTGTTTTATGTGGCTCTGGAAAATATGTAGGCAATCACATTCCCACGCATTTTTCGGAGATTCACGATGAAGCTTTGTTTAGCCTCGCGATTATTGTTACGGTGGCTGTAAAATACACAACTGTGAACGAAAACCCCTGAATTCACACCTCATCAAGCACAAGCAGGGTTTGCGTGACTAAAGCGGACTAATTGTTTTCCTCAGTGGGCGCAACTGCAGTGATTGATATCACCCACCAGAGGGGGAGAGTCAAGAAAACCACAACGATCCCGGGAAATAATGCTTTGGGAGTCACTCTCAAAAGGATTATATCACACATGCCTCACATGACAGATATTCCCGCTCATTGCCTAACTTTACTGAGGCGGTGCCATGTCGTGCAGCCAGACCCACTCGGCATACATCAACCTCCCCCTCGTGCCAACGGAATAAACTCTGCATGTAATGCGCTTGTAATGTAGCATGTCAGACTCCATGAGCAATGTTGTCTGTCAACAACTTCTGTTTGTATTATCACCGCAGCGCTCAGCGAAAGACCTTATTTGCAGTCTCGTCATCTCATGATTACTCGTCCATTATCACTCGCTTGTTTATCCAGTCAAAGTATTTTGGTTATAACAACAGACAGGCAATGTAGGGGTACTGAATACCAACAGATACTTGAGGAATCAACGCCCCTCGTTCCTTCAGAGAGAGTGGCCTTGACGTCACAGTTTTGAACATATGCGGTTGAGGCGGGTCAATCAAGGACAGGTCTAAACGACTGCCAGAAGGGATACAAAATACATTATGCTCCAGTCCCTCAGGGTAGAACTGGCAGTGGCGGTGTTTGGACCTGGAACCGGCCCAAATGGTAAAAACAGTGCGAGCTGAAGCGTGTGAGTGTGTATGCCGGACCAGAGAAGGGAGGACAGCTGCAGTGTAGGAGTCGGTACACAACCCCACATAGCTCCAGTGTTCACCGTCTGGCCCCGCTCTGGTGGGAAACTGTATCTGTGTGTGCGATGGGGAACACAATGGGGTATTTGTTGGTTAGGTCTATGTATGAATGCATGCCCACGCGTACGATTTTGTGTGTTATTCTGAACAGTGTGTGCTCTGCTTTGGGAATCCCACCTACATTTCTTTCAGTTTGGACTTTGGATGCTCTTTCTTGTCCTGGTGTGACTCCCCAAGAATTTGACCCACAAAATGCTGGAAGAAACCTCATAGCCTCAAATGCGCCAGAAGTTTATGTGTTTCAATAACAGTGAAAAGAATGTCATGGTTGGGGTCAATGATTTTGGCAACTTAGATGTTTTTTTGGATCAACATCTTTTGTTGGTCTTGGAACAACATTCCTTTTAAAGAAACATAGTTGTATATGAGATTTGAGATTGCGAAGCAATGATATATTCTTCTTTTAGTCAGTGTTATCTTGGCTTTATCTCCAAAAATGTTTCTTTAATTGCCAAATTCCTGTTGTAGAACCTAATCGTGAGGAGAGACTTTGATCCTCCAATCAGCAAGAAGCACATCATAACAGCTTAGCAGCGACCTCTCACTCCAATGGAGTATTGTAAATTACATAATTTAAAAGTCAGAATCACTCTATAGTTCCAAGCCAAGACCACCTTGTCCAGACGATTTCGCATGATTGTTTTGGTGCGATTGGCATGTTCATATATGCCTAAACCAATCAAACTAAGAAAGAAAATGTGCCAGGTTCCAAAACATATGCGCCAAATGAGCCAGGTGTGAAAACAGCATTAGTACCAAGCCTAAATTTGTCTTATATAGCCATCTTGAAAAAACCCAAGATGGCACCGACGCTGATGGTTGCCTCCGTGGCGTGCTCCGCAGTTGTTTTTATGTTTTTGTTAGTTTGTCCTGTCTTTAGATTTGCTTTAATATGATTTGAAAGTGGTTACAACCTGATTTTCAGTAAATGTGTTCTGCTGCTGAAGGTTACAGCTAAATCTTTCATTTTGCCTTTTTTTTCTTTTCTTCAAATCAAAGTTTGAAGATCATCAAAGATGATTCATCTCTGTCCTCTTTGGTTTGACTCACCAAACTCCATTGGAGGAATTGAATACAAAAAAAGTGGCCATTGACAATTGTGTTCTTTTGTCATCCTCCCCAAACTTCACAAAACAGTACTGTGCTGGTACTATGATACAGTAATGATATGAGATTGTAATTCCATGGTGGATAATAATTCCTTTGTTTTTTGAGAAAACTTACAGAAAGTGAATGAAAGGTACATATTCAAGACAAAATGTGCTTGAAGTGAGTAAAAGTTGGAAATTCTTAGAGGGTGGACTGAGATTTTGGATTGTATGAATGTTCAGTAGACCAGCTGGACATTTTTGGCACTTCTTGTTGCCAGGATTGTGAATTAAAAGACGTGGGTGGGAGGCAAAGTCATGTGTTGATTGAAAATTCAACAGGGAGGAAGTGTGCTTCAAGCATGCTCATGTCTTACTGTGGAAAATGGCTAGATGGTACACTTCTCTACAAACTAGGGTTGCATAATTTTAAAAAAGTGATTATTTTGTCATATTGTGATTTGAACTGCTATTTTTTTTATAATAGGTTTTTAAATGTTCCTCAATCCATATATCTGGTGTAATCTCCTTTTTTTTTTATTGTGTCATATTAGTAGATTTGTATAATAACTTGCATCTGTTAAAAATGTGTATCTTGAACATAAATCTTGAATCTAAATTTTGTGGTATAATAATCTTTCACATCCATATCACGATTTGATTTTTTTTCTACTTTTTATCAGCCCTACTACAAACACTTTCTATCTCCTTGACCTTTTCTTTCTTTCACACACACATTTATTCATTACTGGACTCGATGTCTCTCACTCCTACTCTGCATAGTGTCATTTAAATGAGTCATCGAAGAGCAGTATGTTCATCATTGGTACACCGTGAGTTCTACCCAGCAGTCACCTGGCAAATGGCAGGCCGTTCATGAGGAGAGGAGACAGTTTGTTCTGTCAGTGTGTGTGTGTTTGTGAGTGTATGGTTGTGACAGAAGGGGTTGGAACGTCCTCTGTTCAAACATGCTGTATTTTCCAACAGTCACGAGAACTGAATCGCTCTCTTTATCTCTCTTCTTTCAACTCATTCTCTCTTTTTCCTTCCATTCTGTCTGGTGCCTGTGGTTTAAAAAGACTAGTCAGGTACAATGACAAATACAGTGACGGGAAAGGGGGAAAAAGGGAAGTAGTTAGAATGGATGGAAGGCCGTGATATTTTCTTTTTAGGAAACAGTGGCGCACCCAGGCCTGTTAACTTACGGTTAACATACCCCTTGATTAATGTTGAAATGTTTTTCTTGTCAAATGGGTGTTGGAATCATGGAAATATGATTTTTGTTTCTCTTACATTTTTGCAGTTTTGTCATACCTTGTAGTGAAGGAGTAACTGAAGATTATTTGAAAGAAACAAACCACTGTAGAAGTCTTTTGGGGAAAAGTTTACCCTAAAAATAAAAAATCTGACATCATTCACTTTGTGTGAAGAACAGTCCATAAATTTAAGCCATTATGCACTGATAAACTTCACCTGCTAAATCAGATATGATGGCTATGGCACAGATAAGTAGCATCAAACATAATGACATAACCTTAATTTTTGGGTGAACTATTCCTTTAAAAGTACAGTAGCTAAGCAGTGTAATCTAAATAAGTACACCTCTTCCCTAGTCCTAGTATCCAGTCAAAATCTAGGTCCACTGTTTGCTTCAATCTGTTTGGAAACTGGTTGCAACCTTGTTTTGAATGTTACATCAAAATCTTTCATCTCATTTTTTTGTCCTTCCCTTCCAGCCGTCATCCCACTGACCGACTCTGAGCACAAGCTGCTAGCGCTGCACTTCGCGGTGGACCCTGGGAGGGACTGGGAGTGGGGGAGGGATGACAACGACAATGCTAAGCTGGCAAAGTGAGACCCCTCTTTTTCTCTCTTATCCTCCATCCTCCATCCACCCCTACAGCAATCTTAGAGAAATTTAATAACTTATGAGTAGGTTCTAGCCTAAATGAGGGGTAATTAAGACAAAGGTCAATTGAGGCCAAATGAAGGCATCTATCTATATGTTATCTCTATATCTCTATTATCATATGAGGGATTAAGTTGGACTAAATCTGTCCAGAAGGTCCCAGCACATGGCACCAGGGCATATTATCCTCACAGAGGTTGATCGGCTCTTGATTGACACATCTTAAAGACTCATTCAGTCATTAAAGCCTGTATATGTTCCAGGCTTTTATCACTTGCATATTCTTGCATTTAGTCTTATGGTTAAATGACTTGTACAGGATGTTTTCAAATCTGAGTAACTTTGCAGAGGTCAGCCAATTAAAGTATATAAATAAATTGCGGCAGCACCGCCCCAGCCATGACTTACAGAAGGAAGAACAGAAACCAAAAGAAACATCTGTGCTGAAGTAACTGTATTCATTTGGCCCCCAGTCCATTGGCTCCATAATGGACTGATAAATACAAGCTGTCATTCCCTGGTGACTAGATTTATGCACTGATTGAGTTCCTAGTTGCATGCCTCAAATGGTTTGTAATTTCTTCCATTCCCTCATTGGCACGTAAGAGATGACAAGAATATTCAATGCCTCATTTGAGCTGATAAACCTTTTGAGCTACAAATTAGGTTTTAGAAGAAATGTGTGACTATGTTCTCCTCTCTCTCTAGTCTTATTCTATCACTGGAAGCTAAATTAAACCTTCTGCACAACTACATGAATGTAACATGGATTCGAATTCCTTCTGAAACAAGGGTAAGTGGTCGTCCATTTATTGGTTGACAGGGGTTGCAACCCTTGCTCCTGAAGGCTACCTTCTTGCAGACATAAGTTCCAACTCTGCTCCAACACACTTTGCTATGTTTTCAAGTAATCCTGAAAACCTTAAATAACTGGTTCAGGTATAATTGATTTAAGGATGGTAGCCCTCCAGGAACATGGTTGTTTCCCCCTTTTCTAAAATTTTTGACAGCAGTACTTGCTGCTAAAAGTGACTACATTTTTGAGTCCTAATGGCTGATCTATCTATTACAGGCTCCCTTGGCTCAGCCCGAGTCGCCCACTGCCTCTGCAGGTGAGGATGTACAGTCTCTGGCAGAATCCATGGACTCGGACCGGGAGTCTGTTTGCAGTAACTCCAACATCAATAACGGCAAGTCGAGAAAGGAGAAGGACAAGGACAAGCAGCGAAAGGACAAAGACAAAACAAGGGCAGACTCAGTGGCCAACAAACTGGGCAGCTTCAGCAAGACTCTGGGTATCAAACTTAAGAAGAATATGGGTGGCCTTGGAGGACTTGTTCATGGCAAGATCAGCAAGTCTACTTCAACAAATAGTCGAACGGTAGAGAACGGAGAGCAGAAATCCAAGAAAAAGGACTCGAAAACACGAAAAGGGAGCAAAGAGGAGTCAGGCCAGTCGGCCAGCACATCCTCCTCAGAAAAGGCAACCAGTCCCTCTCCTACAGACCGTGCTTCTGGTAGCTCACCTGTTGAGAGACCGCCAGGATCAGGCAAAAACTCGGGTGATCGGACACTGGACAACTGGAAGTACAGCACAGATGTAAAACTCAGCCTGAACATACTTCGGGCAGCCATGCAGGGCGAGCGCAAATTCATCTTCGCTGGGTTGCTGCTCACCAGCCACCGACACCAGTTCCATGAAGAGATGATCAGCTTCTACCTAAGCAGTGCCCAAGAACGCTTCAGTGCTGAGCAGGAACAGAAGAGAAAGGCTGAGGCTGAGAAGAAGCCTCAGACCAATGGGGTGGCACTAAAGAAGCCTGAACAGGAGAGTGTTTTCCAAAGGGAGCGTTCAGATAGCTCTCCACCTGAGAATTGCTCACCGGTGCTGCAACCTAGCCATACTCCTTCCCAGGCTGTGAAGGTCCAAGAAAGGGGAAGCCCAAAGCTTGCTGCTTCCCCTGTCCCAATACCCATCCCAGCTTCCATCCAAGGATCCTCCATGTCCCCTGTCCCTTTCTCCTCCCCTAGTAACGGTGCTAAGAGACCTGGACCAGTCCCTGTTTCAGCTCACTATAGCCATACACCACCTATCCAGAGGCACAGTGTCATCCATCTGAGGGATGTCAATGTGCAGTCATCCAGCTACAAAGATGAATCTTACAAGCCAATGGTCGGCACTCTCAAAACTTGTGCTACCTACCCCCAGCAAAACCGCTCACTGTCCTCTCAGAGCTACAGCCCAGCCCGCATGTCTGGTATTCGTACGATTAATGCCGTAGACACCCTCCCATACAACATGCCTGGGGAACATAAGTCCCACACTTATACCAACGGCTTCAACACTGGCGACATACGGGACTGTCTGGAGTTTGCAGATGAGGACCCGGTGCCCCATGCCTGGCTGGGGCAGGACAAAACCAAAGGGCAGAGTGGTGTTTGCCCAATGTACTGTTTTCAGCAGAAACGTTGCAGGAGGGAGAACTGCACCTTCTATGGCCGACCTGAGACAGAGAACTTTTGCTCATACTGTTATAGAGAGGAGCTGAAACGCAGGGAACGAGAGGTGAAGGTGCACCGACCTGGATAGCCCTGCAAATGCGCACACATATATAACCACCCCCAATGTGTGTGGAAAAGAACAGCAACACCACCACCTTTTTGCACTTTGCAAGCGATACAAAGAACTGGCATAACATTTTCCTACTATATTTAAGATCGGCCTCCTTGTATTCTTCTTACTTTACTCTCAATAGCGAACAAACACTGCTTTACAATGACAGGAAGTGCAACCAGAATCAGTTTACAGCTTTGGCCAGAGATTGTGTTATTGTTTGTCCTATGTCCGATTTAATTCAATCTTTTACTTGTTCTAGAGTAAAAGCTCTTGTCTGTGCATTTTGCTCAGTCTGTATTGTAAAACTCCTTGTACCTGCAGAAAGAGATGTAAAAGCATATGTCACTCTCTAATGGAGCTTCCCAAATTATGGAAGGGAAAACTCTGTTTAGAGACCATTATTATGCAATACTTCACAGCATAGCTCTTTGGAATCTTAATATTAAATAACATTGATTTGCTGTGCATTGCAAATAATTACAAAGGGAGGGAGATGCACTGTTCAGCACTCTGATTTTTTTGAAAGCAATAAGTTTGGTAACAACTGACACCCCTCCCCCTTTTATCTATGCATTCATGACGTCAGCCATATTCTACTTTTCCCCATATGATTCTAAGGGATATAGATAAGATTATAATAGGTCTGCTGTACAGGGATTATTATCGTGGGAAATATTTAATATGTGGCATATAAGAGTGTGCTTTTGGATTGATCTTGTGGTATATATATATATATAATATATATATATATATATATATATATACACACACACACACAACGCTGCAGTATATTGTAACATAAAGCCTCTACATAGGAGGGTTTGCATTCCATCATGATATCAAATGAAACCTCACTATTGTGTGCTACTTGAACTTGACATCCGATACAGTAAGCATTTGACTTCCATTCATTGCTTTCTGTATTTGCAATATAACACAGTCATGCTAGCGAATGCTAAATTACAAGAACCACCTTACCTGAGGATATATATGAAATGCAAACCCTTATATGCTTCAGCAGTGGACTAAAGGTGGAAAGCTTATGAAACGGTGTATTTGTCAACTGTTTTATACCTTCACTGATGGCACAGCTTGGCTACAAGCAATTGGCAACTGCTCATCAACATTCCATAGCACTCATGCTAACACTGCCATGCTAGCCTCTCATGTGCCAAAATGATCCTTCACCTCCATTTCATTTGTCCTCAGGAATATAAGTCTTAACCACACAATTGTGATTATAATATACATAGAAACATCTAAATCTATAAATGTAAAATTGGATATTTAAAGGTACAAATCTACCTCTTGAAAGCGTTTTAGGTTTTTGACTCTCATAGATTACATAGCAGTGTAAAATGTCCTAACTAGGTGCAATGTGGAATGTTAGTAGCTGAAATTTTCATGTGTACAATGAAAACGAAAATTCGGTGACAACAAATTCACAGCCAATCAGATCAGAATATGTTTTATGTTAAATAGACCTATGAGATTGCACTGTGGGTGAAAGCAACCCAGTGAAACCAAGGGATAGACAAAATTTTCATATGTTGCTTGACATGGTTGTATTTAGTTTGGACAAAATCTCTGATTAATTTATTCTTTGTCAGATTGTATCACGACTGGTTAGGACATGTTCTCCAGATCAAATCTCTAAATGTAAAATTACATTAAGCCGATATTGATCACAGCAGTGCAAAAACCATCACAGACAACATGCTAAGCTACTAACTGGCTAACAAACATACACGCTCGAAGCGCTAGTTCTCATTGTGTGCTAGAAAATCAGGATGTTACAGATAACTGCGCCAATCAAGTCAACTAGCATGTTAGCCACTTTGTGTGCCTCTGCTAAGCAAAGGCCCAACCAAGTGCTTTTCTACTTCATAGACAAGATTTCCATAAGAGCAGCGCTTGTTGTGTTTTGTTGTGTGGCGGTGTCCAGGTAACCAACTTCGTGTCTCTGTAAGTGTTTTGTCTTTCCTGGCCAAGGAGGTCCACTGCTTCGTTCTCTTCCCACATTTCTACACCTCCACAATCATGCGTGTCTTTCGCTTCCCATCTTCCTGCTTTTCCTCTCCCTCCTTTATATTCGACAAGCTCATGGACTCTCACCGTCTTTACATTTCAACGCATCCAAAGTCTAAAGCAGATCTGAAATGTAGACTTATACATATGATCGGAACTCCACGTACTTCCATTGTGAATGGAAAACTTCCGGTCTGTCATTTGTTGGAGATGAAAACTTGACCTTTTGATTTTTTGTTCAGTGATTTTAATGTTTGCCTTTCATGACAATCATGACAATTCATGGGATTGCTGTCAGAATTCACCATGTCATATAATAGTGTAGCACTGCTTCTGTTTGATTATCAACCGATTGTTGGAACTTGTACCGTATTTGTGCGTAAAAAACATGCATGCAAACATTTTATTTGAGAGGTATTTGAGCTCATATTCAAATCTCTGATGTTTGATTGAAGACGCTTGATTGGAAACTTGGCAAATCCAAGCATAATGTGAGATGTTATCTCTTCTGAAACTCGCAAAGATACATGTGTGAGATTACTTAGATCTTTTTCTCTGGAGAAACATCTGAGCCCTTTTCTAGTACTATGTTCTAAACATGAAAACCAAAATACTACTGACATACGTGTAGGGCCCTGACCTCTCAAGGGGTAAGTAGAAGGGGAAAGATGTTTTTCTTTTCAAGAAGGCACGTGAACTCATCTCCGTTCAAAGCAGCACGCACGGAGATGCAAAGACACACTGCCATCTATCAATCAGCAGAACGGCCCCTGTACGCAGTGTGATTCTGTGCCCTTATTTTACCTTATAATCATACAGAAGCACTAATATACAACACCAACACGGACTGCTATCATACACCCTAAAGCCGCATTTACACTATCTCCAACATTCACTTATGATTGTCTCATTTCACCCTAATTGCACAGAAGTTTGGATTAGAATCACAGCTGGTCTCGTGGCCTTATATGGTCTAGCCACAAAAAGTTACATTTCAACGCATCCAAAGTCTAAAGCAGATCTGAAATGTAGACTTATACATATGATCGGAACTCCACGTACTTCCATTGTGAATGGTAAACTTCCGGTCTGTCATTTGTTGGAGATGAAAACTTGACCTTTTGATTTTTTGTTCAGTGATTTTAATGTTTGCCTTTCATGACAATCATGACAATTCATGGGATTGCTGTCAGAATTCACCATGTCATATAATAGTGTAGCACTGCTTCTGTTTGATTATCAACCGATTGTTGGAACTTGTACCGTATTTGTGCGTAAAAAACATGCATGCAAACATTTTATTTGAGAGGTATTTGAGCTCATATTCAAATCTCTGATGTTTGATTGAAGACGCTTGATTGGAAACTTGGCAAATCCAAGCATAATGTGAGATGTTATCTCTTCTGAAACTCGCAAAGATACATGTGTGAGATTACTTAGATCTTTTTCTCTGGAGAAACATCTGAGCCCTTTTCTAGTACTATGTTCTAAACATGAAAACCAAAATACTACTGACATACGTGTAGGGCCCTGACCTCTCAAGGGGTAAGTAGAAGGGGAAAGATGTTTTTCTTTTCAAGAAGGCACGTGAACTCATCTCCGTTCAAAGCAGCACGCACGGAGATGCAAAGACACACTGCCATCTATCAATCAGCAGAACGGCCCCTGTACGGCTCTCCCATGACCTAGTTTGCGTTTGTGCACAGCTCTCTTCAAAACATCACCCTGCCCACATTTTTTTTCTCAGAAGTCTCTCGTCAATAATCCGACTTTCTGTTTGGCGGCTTACAGTTTCTCAAAAGAATGCGAAAAATGTGAGAAGAAAAATAAAACGGGAGAGAGAGACAGTATAAGGTCACGCAGTTCTTTGCCGCATGATATTTGTGATCCATGTCTTTCCTGCATTGGTGGAGAGGAAGAAGGAGAAAGTGTACTGTGCTCAGCTGGGGCATGGCATGCTGTCATGTGTTCTAGGACTAGAGGTCTTGTGACATTGCAGCCAATTCTTTATTGTGCCTTACAGTACATAACAGCACAAGACAGCGATAGTGTACCATTGTACGCAGTCCACACTTTACAGTCTTGACTCTACCGACTGTTGATACCACAAACAAATTTCACGCTATTAAAGCATTACGCCATTCTTTACCGTGGGTTCTCAGGCATTATGTGAAGCGGAGTATAATATGCTTGGCTGTGGTAATGTCATGTAACATGCAGCCTTGAATAGCTTGCTATTAAGAAATACTAATAAACAATAAAAACAACAGGTATATAATGTCTAACAAAATGTCCTAAACAGGTGTTAAAATGACAGTGGGCCATGTTTCCAGGCTTTTCTATGTAAATCTGTATTTTGTCCTAAGCATTTTCACTAGCATTTTATTGTTTTTTGTTTGTTTTGGTTGAATATTTACAGCAAGGGATCATGGTTTAATATGTTAGCATAGCTTATCTATTCCATGTAAACCTGTTTTTTCTTTTTTTTTTTTTTTTTTTTTTTTTTTTAGTTCTAACCATTTTCACAAGCATTTTCTTGACATTTTTTGCTTCTGTTGGCTGTTTACAGCAAGGGGTCATGGTTTACCATGTTAGCATAGCTACATTGGCCCAGTTAGTGTACTAAAAGCTAAAATATCTATTCCATGTAAACCTGTTTTTTTAAAGTCCTAACCATTTTCCCAAGCACTTTCTTGTCATGTTTTCTGTAGGCTGTTTACAGCAAGGGACCAAGGTTTATCAGGTTAGCATAGCTACATTAGCCCAGTTAACATGCTAAAATGTAAAGTATCTCTTCAATGCAAACCTGCATTTTTGTTCTAACCATGTCCTCAAGCATTTTCTTGTGTTTTTCTTTTCTGTATGATATTTACAGCACAGGGTCAAGGTCTATAAGGTTAGCATGGCTGCATTAGCTAAAAGCTAAAGTATATCTTTCATGCAAACCTGTATTTTTGTGGATGTTCCCAATGTTCCCAAGCATTTTATTGTATTTTTTCTTTAGGCCATTTAGCTATATCAAGTAGTCAAGGGTTATCAGGTTAGCATGGCTACATTAACCCTGTTAGTATGCTAAAAGCTAATATATCTCTTTCATGTAAACCTGTTTTTTTCCTAACCATGTTCCCAAGCAATTTCTTGTTGTGTTTTTTTTTTCTTTTCTCGTAGTACAAGGGTTAGCAGGTTGGCATGACCCCATTAGCCCTGTTAGATGATGCCATAGCATTTTTATAAGTATCTTTCTTTATCCTTTTCACGTCCTATTTTGCACACTAGTTGTCTGTGTAGCCAATGAAACATAAAATGTTAGAAAGAGTGAAGGAGAACATAAAGGTCTTTGTACAGGTGAACCAGCCCACCCTGTGGAGGCGATGTACTGTAGTTGAGCAAAGAAAGGAAACAACCAAAATACTCACTGGTGGGAGGGTCCTTTTTCTGAAAGAGACAGTGAGACACTGCAAAGAAAGAGAACAAGAACTGTCTTTTCTTTTTTGTGTGTCTGCCAGATTTATGGTTGCAATTGAAACCATCAACAGCTTTGCTCTTTTGGCAGAGACCGGAGGAGCCCCAAGATGGAGACACACCCTGTGATCTGTGTTGCCACTTGTATGGAAGCAATTTTCCAACAAAAGCCCTTATCAGAAACGCTAATTATCATCTTTACTTTCATGTTGGTAACAGCGGTGTCTGTTTTGGCTCTG